AACAATTTGGATATAATACCCTACCCCCTTCAAACCCCTTTCATAAAGAAAAACATGAAAAATTTAGAAAGAGAAAATTTAGACATTCTTCAAAGACAAAAGAAAAATTTTCCAAGAAATTCTTACAAAATAAACCATCCTTTAAAAATAAGGGAAAAAGAAAAATCCCTATTTATTATAATTGTGCCAAAATAGGCCATTACAAAAGTAAATGTAGAGTTAAAATGAAAATTAACTCTCTAGAAATAGATGATAATATTAAAATCCAATTATTTGAGATACTCTAAATAAAAGATGAATCCTCTGATTCTTTTGATTCAAAAGAAGAAATGTTAATTGGAGAAATAAATGATGAAGATATCATTATCAGCAGTTCTGATTCAGACTCTGGTGATGAAGCTAACCCAAAAGAAGAAAATTGCCGATGTGATTTTTACAAGGCAATAATGGATATGAATGGGTTAAGTATCAACACCCGTACAAAATAAAAAGATCTGATTATAGACCTTATTGACAAAATATCACATCCAGAGGCTAAAAGAGAGGCCTTAGTCCAATACATCAATATGTCTAAGACCCCATCGGGAAAAACAAAGTACCATCGGGAAAAACAAAGTATTCTCTTGTCCCAACAAAAGAAGATTAAAGTTTCCATGACATTCTTAAAAGAGTACAAAATAAAACACAGGTAGAAAGAGAACCTTCAATATCTGAGTTAAAATATGAAATCAACGAGGTAAGAAACGAGTTGATAGTGCTAAAAACAATGGTTCAAATCTTAGAATTAACCCAGAAACTTCTCAAAGAAGAAACTGAAGAAGAAAACATAGAAATTGAATTTGATAACCTGGTAACTGAATATAATATCCCTTTACCACTCGAGGTAGAAGATACCCTTCCTAAACCTGAAACCTCCAAAGCTAGTATGAATGTGATAGAAAAAGTCCAGGATTGTAAATACGTAAACCTAGTAGACAAAATAATAACCAAAAAATGGTTTACTAATATCAAAATCGTGGTTAAAAAAAAATACAGTTTCCAAACTACTGCCCTGATAGATTCAGGAGTTGACCTAAATTGCATTAACGAAGGATTAGTACCAACTAAATTTTTAGCAAGACTACCCCAGTTCTTAATACTGCCGATGGCAGCAAAATGCTTATTAATTATAAATTATCAGATGCTGCAGTTTGTAATAATGATGCTTGTTTTAAGTTCCCCTTCATACTGGTAAAAGGTTTAAGTCAACCTGTTATTATAAGAACTCCCTTCTTAAACATACTCTATCCAATAAAAATTGATGACATAGGGATAAAAGCTAGTATTGAAGGACATAAAGTTAAATTCACCTTTATTGATAAACTTAGAATTCATGAAATCAATAACATTAAAGATAAGATTTCTCCTAAAGAAAAATTTCTTTATCATCTGAAAGAAGAAATAAAATACAAAAATATGGAAGAAAAATTATTACTTCTTGAGATTCAAAATAAAATTAAATATCTGAAAATAGATATGGAATCCCCAATGCCTTTTGGGATAGCAAGCAACATATAGTTGAACTTCCCTATGAACCAGATTTTCGAGAAGAAAAAATTCCTACTAAAGCAAGGCCTATTCAAATGAACAATTGGCTACTTGAAATCTGTAAAAAGGAAATAAAATAATTATTGGACAAAAAGCTTATCAGAAAAAACTCATCACCCTGGAGTTGCTCAGCCTTGTATGTGGAAAAGGCCTCTAAGATAGAAAGAGGGGCTCCGATACTGGTTATAAATTATAAACCACTCAACAAAGTCTTAAGATGGATCAGATATTCAATCGCTAATAAAAGAGACTTCTTAGATAGACTGGCAAACGCTTGTATATTTTCAAAGTTTGATATTAAATCAGGCTACTGGCAAATCCTGATTGCCAAAAAAGATAAATATAAAACTGCTTTTAATGTTCCATTTGGACAATTTGAATGGAACGTTATACCTTTCGGGTTAAAAAATGCACCATCCGAATTTCAAAATATCATGAACGAAATCTTTAATCCTTATACAAAGTTCATGATTGTCTATATTGTTGATATACTTGTTTTCTCATAATCAATTGATCAACATTGGAAACATTTAAGTACATTTGTAAAAGCAATAAAAATGCTGGCTTAGTAGTTTATGCGAGAAAAATAAATCTATGCCAGACAAAAATAAGGTTTTTAGGTCACAATATTTTCATGGGAAGAATCATTCTCATTGATAGAGCAACAGAATTCGCATCCAAATTTCCAGATGTGATTACAGGAAAAACTGAATTACAAAGATTCCTTAGTTGTTTAAACTACATTTCTTACTTCTATAAAGATTTGACATTAGATGCAAAACCTTTATTCCAAAGTTTAACAAAGCATCCTCCAGAATGGACTGAAGAACATACCAAGGCGGTCAAAAAAATTAAAATAAAAGCTAAGAAATTACCATGTTTAGCCCTATCACGTCCTATGACGTTTAAAATAGTAGAGACAGACGCCTCAGAGCAAGGACTTGGTGCTGTCTTAAAACAAAAAATGAATAATCAAGAGCAATTGGTCCGATTTACTTAAAAAACTTGGAATCCAGCCCAACAAAATTATTCAATAGTGAAAAAAGAAATACTTGCTGTTGTCCATGCTGTAACAAAATTTCAAAGTGATCTGCTCAACCAATCATTCCTTATACGGATTGACTGTAAAGCAGCCAAAGATATTCTGTAAAAGGATGTAAAAAATCTCGTTTCAAAGCAAATCTTCGCCAGGTGGCAAGGTATTTGCTTTCAAATTTACTATCGAACATATTAATGGAAACACTAATTATTTGCCTAACTTTTTTACACGAAAATTTTTGCAGGGAGGGCAAAAGAGTCAACAAAGGCGATCGATGGAAATAGTTCCTAGCCGGGGAAATCCCTGGCATCACCATCAACACCAAATGCTTTAATAAGAAGGCAAATACAAGATATTGATATATCTCCCTTTCAAACACCAATAAGTACTCAAACTCCAAATACTAAAACCATATATTTGGAAACAGTATATACTCCGTTGCTGATTATAAAAAATGATCATCAGTCAAAAACCCCGATTGAAATAGCTGCATTATACCTCAGGCAACATATGCATCCTAATATGGGTGACAAATGCAGAGAATGGTATGAAAATATCCTTATGGAAACATGTTCGGTATTCATAGTTCACCATTATCGAAATAATGATATAGAAATAGCATATTCCAAATTCCAAAAAAGTTATTTCTTATAGAGAATGGGGACTAGATCCTTTAAAACCAATGTTAAAGAAATATATATATATATATATATATATATGTGTGTGTGTGTGTGTGTGTGTGTGTGTGTGTCTTATTCTTGGCATCTTAAGTGGCATATGGGGACAAACATTGAAATCAAAGGGATATATCTATGTGCATCTACAATGTATCATAAATCACATACAATTCATGAAAATCCCTGCGGTCTGGTGATATATTGGGGCACTCCGGCGATCATGAGGGGGCACTCCGGCACCTAAAAGGCGCAGTCCGGCGTTCAATAGGAGCAAGCTGGCACTTTAAAGGAGCAGTTCGGCTAAATGTTGGGTTAGTCCAGCAGTTATTTGGGTAATCCGGCATTTAGTCAATTGAAAAGATGGTCCGACGATCCTATTAGGGCAGTCCGACATTTTCAGTCCGGCGATTTGTTAAGTCAAGTCGGTGATTGAGCTCACTAGAAAATCCAATCCGACAATTGCAAGGGGTAGTCCGACGATTTTCTCTATCAGTTCAAAATTTTATGGGGGCAATCTCGCGACTAGATTAATGGAGCATCCACTCCAGCAATGCGATAAGGTCGGTTCGGTGTTTAAGGGCACCAGTCTGGCGTTTTGGCTGGTCGTTCCGGTGTTTATGCTCACGGGAATTTCCTGTCTGGTGATTTTGATGATCGTTCCGGTGTTTAGGGCATTCGGTCCGACATTGTCTTTGTTCACTCCGGTGTTTGATCTCACTGGAAAAACCAGTCCGGCATTCTTTGGACCAATCTGGCGTTTTGTTTGGTCAGTCTGGCAAAAGAACAGTGTAGTCCAGTGTTAGAGTCACTGGAACTGCCCGTTTCGGCGTAATGAGGGGCAGTCCGACATTTTTGCACGTTAGTCTGACATTTTTCTGTCTCAGTCCATCATTGCTCATTCCGACGAATTTGTGGGTCAGTCCCGCGATTCATGTCGCTGGAACTGCCCTAGTCCGGCATTGTGATAAACCAGACTGGCACTATATGGGGTCCAGTCCAGTGTATTGGTAGGGCAGTCCAGTGTTTTCTTCACTAGAATTGCCCCGGTTCGGCATTATGAGGAGCGGTCTGGCTCTTGGGCATGTCAGTCCGGCTTTTTTGCATTACAGTTCGGCGTTGTGCAATCTGACAATTTTTTGGGGCAGTTCGGCGTTTCATTTCACTGGAACTGCCCCAGTCTGACGTTTTTAGGTGCAGTCTGGCATTTGGTGGAGTAGTCCGGCGTTGGTCTAATGCGGTCCGGTTTTTAAGTTTAATTGGACGCGAAAATAATTTTTTGAAGTATGGGAAGGGCATATTCGTTAAAAAAAAGACCTACTTTTTGTGTTTGGGGTTTTTTTTTTTTGTTAGAAAAGCTCGGTTTTTTAAAAAGTTTGTGAGCAAAATTAACTTGCGGTTCAAGTTGATAGAATACTTAATTTTGGGGTTTTTTTTTATAAATTTCCCTATTTTTATATATAATTTCCCTTAATTTTCTTACAAAAATATCCCGTGCATCTAATTTGCCGAAGGAATTACTATACATCACACTCCAACGGGAGCATGCTATATGCACTTATTTCACTCCCGCGGGAGCATACTGGCTTGCAGCTCGACACTGTTATCTAAGAGAAATTGGGGTTTTCCCCCTGGAAAAGAATAGAGCCCTTACCGCTTAAAAATTCTTCCTCTGGTTTCATTGTTTCATCTAGGTTCATCTTCTTTATCACTGTTTTCATTTATTTATTTAGTGAATTGTATATTTGATTTATTTCTTATTTTCCTCCTATTATTTCATCCTTACTGGTGCTACACATCACTTAGGGTTAATATAGGGTTTATAGTGAAATTTAATAATATATTTTCCTTGTGGATTTCATTCTGGACCGACCATAGTTTGAGATATTCTTCATTAAATGGAGTGAGATTCATGGTTTTGTAGAAATTGCTTAAATTATATGTCTTTAAGTTTGGTAAGCTACATTTTTATCTCCACGTATTTAGTTTGATTAATGGTAAACCTGCTTATGAACTAGTTTGTGACTTGATTTTGTTTAGGATTTTTTTGGAGAGAATCTTGCTTTTTAAATTGGAATGAGGTATATTAGGCACAAAGAAATTGAAATAGGTATCAGATGTTTGCAATTTAAGTTGTGAACGTTCACTTAAATGGATTGTACTGATCAGTTTTGTGTGATAATTGCAACCGTAAAAGAGTCTTGATTATCGGTTTGTGATTTCTGATATACCTTTGTAGCATATTCCCTTGTTCCATTTTTATTCAGGGAGTTTTGTATGTTATTTTCTTTTTTATTCAGTAGATTAGCTTTTGAACTAGCTGTAGACTGTGAGAAAGATTGAATCATACGAAGGCATGAATGAACTGAAATTTAGGGAAGAAATGCAAGTTATTTTCTTTTTTATTTGATGGATTAGCTTTTGAACTAGCTGTAGGCTGTGAGAAAGATTGAATCGGACTAAGGCATGATTGACCTGAAATTTGCACAAGAAATGCAAAAGTCTTATTTTAATGACTGATTTCCATCACCTTTTAAGCATTTGGTATAGTTTTGCTTCTTTTTTTTTTTGCATGATTCTGTGATGTTTTAGTTAAATTTGGACACTTCTGTAATTCATTGGTTAAATTTACCGTGCTTATGATTTGATGAACCACAGAACATGAAATAATTTTTCCCTTTGTTTCATCGGATGTGTGACAAATATTCAATGAATCTTGTGTTAATTTATGAAAATTTCACATACTTTATTAACTCTATGATTTGTTTTGATCTCCATTGATAGTATATTCTTTCTGAGCTTTTTTGGATTCACCTTGCTGTATTTTGAAGTTTTGAACCTGATTTACGAGTATTTCGAATGTTCTTTTGAGATGCCCCTCCTGCACTGCACAATAAAAGCTTGTTCAGTACTTATTTTGTGAACTATTTTTCTAACAACTGAATATTATCATCAAAAAGAAAAGGAAGACGGTAAGCTGAACCCTAGCTTTTAGAATTGGCTGATTTCCATATCTTCATTCATGGCATTTAATAGTCTTTTACATTTGTTTCAGTTAGCTGCTACTCTTTAATTTGTGCCCCATTCTTTTTCGTTCTTTGTATTTTCATCAACAGATGCAAAAAACATTTAATTAATTTGACTGAATTATTTCACCGTTCTGCAACATTGGTCAAATAAATGGGGCTGAGAAAAAGGATCTAATCATGATTAGCCTAGAGCAGACCAATTGTCGCCCAAAATAATCATAAATTTCTTTTAGTTGAGAAATAATGCTTAAGTATGAGTAGCAGCCCATCCAAATGGGGCCTCAGAGTGCTACTGTTTAGGATGAAAGTTTCTGATGACTAGAATTACAAATCTTGTGTCTCTGATTTACATTACAAATTATTTTCTCTAACTCATAGTAAAATTGTATGGAAACCATTACTGAATCTGGTTTATAGTCAAATAAAATGCTAGTATCTTTAAGGAACTCATGTCCCATACACCCATTCACGTAGTGCAGCCTGGAGAACAAATGTGAAGGCCTTTATCTTCGTGGTGGTTCAAATCAGTATGGATGCAAGCAATGGTGCTTCAAAGTCTATTTCTAACACTGAACATGTGCCCCGCCAGCCTGTTTTTGTAGATGGGGTGCCTGGCTCTAATAGCAATCCCTCCCATTCTCTTAATGCATCAATGGTGCAACATGCCATAGCTTTGCAACAATATCAGTTTCAACAATCATTGGCTACCCAACAACTGTTACTTAAACAACATACAGCTGCAAATGCCACAAACATTAGGGCTGCAACAGAACTGGCAGCTGCTCGAGCTGCTGAGATCAGCAAACTCCTAAATAGTGAGACGCCCAATGTAGTTGATGAAAAAGGAGGTGACGTTCATTCCCCGCCAATAAGGTACCTAGCATTTTGACCACAAATGCAATTGTGGTCATTCTTTTCAGTTGCATTTTTTAGATCTTTCCAATTTCATATATATCTTTTTGCATCAAACATTATGTTTATGTATACTTTTAGCTCTTTAAACTTTGACTTTTGATGTTCTAGGTTTCTCCCTTATATATATGCGAATCCATGATTCACTGGTATATGGTAGAATAAGAGTTCTATGTGTATTGTGCTTGCTAAGCATTGAGTTTTATATTTTTGGTCTTTCATTTCATTATAGTCTTAGCAAAAGCATTCCATTATGTAACTCCCTTCTACTATATGGTTGGCTTTTTGAATGGTTATGGGCCAAACTTATAATTTTATTTAATATTGTTGGTTATCAATCAAAAACATATCAATCAAAAACAAAATAAATATGGAATATGGACTAAGCTACCTGGGTACATGTAGTACATGCTTAAAGTGTCCTAAAGATTGGATCGGGCGACTGAACTACGCACTTGCCAGTGTACTGGCTGGTTTGGGTTTGCTGAGCCGGTAAAAAAATATGAAAAATACCAAAAATTTTAAAATTAATTTTATGTTGTTCTGTAAAAAAATATTGGACAATTACTGCACTACATTAGTTATTATTATGAAACTTTTGTCAAGAAATTATTGGAAATTCAAGAGCTTTTTCAGAAAAATGAAAAGTACAAAAATTTTGTAATCTACAGAAATATTATTTTCAATCACGCGTTACCTATTGTAGATTGAAGATAACACTTTCCATCCTAGTCAAAAAAAAGAAAAAAATATATGTTTTTTCCAGAAAATCCAAGGGTTTTTAGAAAATTAAAACACATTAAAAGTTTAAAAATCTACGAAAATATTTTTCTTATATCATGCAATACCTTTGTAGATTGAATATGACAGTCTCTATAATAAGAAACGTAATAGAATCTTGCCAATAAAAAAAAAATGTATGTGTTTTTTGAAAATCTGAGGGCAACAAAAGACGAAAGTTTCGACTCTAGATCTCTTAGAACACGTTGCTTGATAAGAAAATTTGTGTTGCGTAGCTGTTAGAGGGCTCCAATTTCACTTTTGACACAAGCTTCATGAATTTTGTTGAGAAAATCAGGGAAAACCAAAGAAATGGCAGATCTGGGGTTTCTTAGCTAAAAAATGGATAGTTTTTAACTTCTTGATCTCTCCCAAAAGTGATTGTGATCCAAAATGATTTTCTGTGGTTCTGCAAGGGGCTGGAGAAGATCAGTCTTTGGAAATTTTGATGAAAAAGGTCCAAAATGAGGCAAAATCGGTTGGTTTTTAAAACTTGTTCTCAAAAAAGCAAAGAAAAACAGGGAAGCTTTGCTTGATACTCGCCCGAATCCTGATTTTGGTGGTGACTTGGACTGTCCCTCCAGCACTGAGCAGGCTTGGCGATTTTTAATGCCTTGCTCATAGGGTACTTATAAAAACAAACTAACGTAAATACACCAACATTATATGAATAGCATTGCATGCGTTAGCCTATTGTTCATAACACATTGTTCGTCAGAATTTAGAAGAATTCATTACCACATCCATGTTAACCTTTGCCTTCTTTTAATATTTCATTTTCTGAGATTCCTTTTCGCTATACTTGTACAGGAAAAGATCTAGGTCTAAATCACGAGAGCTCTCTCCATCTCTGTCCGAGTCATCAAAATTGAAATCAGAACATCCTGTTGGGTATAGGAGTGAACACTTTGGGCGTGAAAGGCATAGTGAGTATTCGAGTTATTATGACAGCAGGTATGGTGATCATGTTGGTTATTCAAGGTCAATCTACCGACATCAACGTAACAGAAGCTATTGGTATCATCGTAGAAGTCCAATCAGAAGCAGGATGAGAAGGCCGCACTCTAGATCCAGGCCTCAAAGATATTATCATGGTAGGTCTCCTTCTCCTAGGTATTGCCGTACTAGATCCCCTTCACCCTATCGTGAACGTAGGTCATCGTATAGGGGCTTGGAAAGGCACAAAGTGTCTAAGAGTCCTATCAGTAGTAGTAGCCTTAGTTCAGGCCCCAGAGGCATGACTAATAGAAATATAGAGAAAACAACTCATGGGGAGAGGTCAAGTTATTTGAGACAAAGTCCAAGCAAGACCGATTCAAGTCTTTGGGTTGGGGATGATAGAGAAGGGCCAAGTGTTAGTTGCAGCAAAAAAAATCGTGCTTCTGATGTATCATCTGAAGATTCTGAAGAGCATGAGGAAGAATCCAAACCTTTAAGAGAAGAGTTATCAAAGAGAAGGGTATCGACACCTTCACCAATGTCTCAATCTTCCTCTAGTATTCACTCTGTGAAAGTCTCTGATCCTAAAGAAACATATGCTGGTGAGCTTGCATCAGGTGCTTCAACTTTAAGTAAAGTGATGAGTCTCAAAGCAATTGGTGTCAGTGAGGATGAGAATGAGCAGGTCACATGTGCTCCTCCAAAGTCAGGCAATATAAGTTGTGCAACCAATGCTATATACGTCACTGGTAGTAGCAGAAATCATGAAGGCCTTAAGAAATTACATGGCAATGAGCAGGCTACAACTTGTGAAATTCAGAAGGATACAAGTCTTTCAGCTGTTAGCAAATATTACCTTCCTGCTGGGCCGCCTTCTTTTGAATATGCTTGCTATGAAGAAATGGATCCTACTGATGTTGCCAAAGGAAGATCACCATATGTGTTATCCCCTGATGGAAACAGTGATGAGCCCAGGCCTGAACATGAGAGAGGAAATGTGGTAGGACCTTCTTTTGTGGCATCAGATGGATTAACTGGGATAAATACTGAACATGAAATGGGATGCAGAAGAGATAATCATAAAATGTCTAGACACAGGTCACATTCAAGAGGAAAAAGAAAGAAGCATGGCAAGAAGCATCAGAAAAGACATAGGAGAGAAGAGTCAGAGGATGATAGGAGTACAGGAGAAGATGGTAGAAGCCAAGTGAGAAAAAGAAAGCATAGAAAGAAAGTTCACAAGAGGTGTGACAGGCAAGATAGCAAACGGCTGAAAAGAAAGCTTCGGGATATGTCTTATTCAAGTTTATCAGAGGACTCTTCATCCTCTTATTGAGATAACAGATAATGCTTTGATGTTTCCAAGATGAGATCAACTGGTGAAATTAAAAAGAAGCAGCCATCTTTATATTTAGAAATTGTTCATCATAGTACTGATGTCCTAGCATGGCTCTTATTGTGACTTAAGAGGTTTGTTTTGGATGTCAGGTAGAAATTTACATATGTGTTTTTCTCTTTTTCTTCCCTTTTTTCTTTTTTGCTTTGTCTCATTCTCTTTAAAGGAAACATTGGTCCTTTGATGTTATTGGCTCTAAAGTTGGGTGGCATTTCAGCTTGTCGGGTGCTATGACTCACATGTTGCTGTCAGAACCTTGTTGTCTTTTATTGCTTGCAGGAAAGAAACAATTTGTCCACTTTGGATGTGTCTGAGAGCCGATGCCTCCTCTTGTCTAGGTAGTACATGTTACAAATAGAAATTAAAAACTTTATCAATAAAATTTAAGGATTTGCTATTCTTCTTTGGTGTTTGGCTGTGTTGAACACCTTCAATTTTACACCATGGTTTTTTTTTTTTTCTGAGAGGCAATTTTACACTATGGTTTTTTTTCTTTGGAAATTGATTGGATGCACAATGCTTGTATTTCGGGTATTGACGGACTGGGAGCGAAATTATGAGGTCAGCTATATGGCTTTGTTTTAATCTTTACCCCTTTTTTTTTCTCTTTTCAATCAACAGGTGTGAAATTCAAGGTCTTAGTTAATTCCATTTAGGTAAGTGCCTTCTCTTTTGTTTATTATCTAAATGGAAAATCTATTGAATTAATGGTTTTTGCATAGGGAGCATGCATGTCAGGGAATGTGGCTTGTGTATTCAATTATCTTGTTTATTTCATTGCTTCTAACCTTCTTTGCTTCCTTTTCCAAGTATATTTGAACATTTTCTTCCATTGACATTGGGCCACTATCTGAAGTGAGCTCATATTGTTATTCACTATGGTCTTGAAGAGTTTGTTTGGCAGTTTCTAGAGCAGTGTAAAGTAAGAGGGTAAGACTCTGAAATTGAAATAATGGCTTTTACAAATGTTTCATATTATAAGAAATAAAAATTCTTAATAAAAGTTGTTATTGTTTGTTCCTTTAAAAAAAAAAAAACTGTGTTTGTGGAGTGTGGACAAGTGTCATCTTTGGTATTTTCTGTCTGTAAATGGTAGTTCGTTATGAATCTCTTTCTTGAAGATGGTGAGAGCATTTACTTTGACTACTATTTCCTGTAATGTTGATTTTTGAGAAGTCTTAATGCACAAACAGAGACATAGGTGAGACATATGTATCATGATATGTGAATTTTAACATATTGATATATGGACAGGAGTGAATGCCATAAAATCTATGTTACTTAGAGGTTTAGTTTGTGAAGAGTGGAATGGTATTGTTAGTTTTTTGTTAAATGTGGTTTCTGTTAATGCTATTTCATTTTGATCAACCATCAGTGGTATACAAAAATAACCATTGCTGGTTTCTGTCAACTTTTCCTGGACACAGCATTCCTAGGCAGCCTGTCTCTAGAACATTGTTTGGGTGTGTTTTGGATCATTTAAAGTACAAATAGAACTTAGACAGGGATAGACCGAGGCCTGTGCATAGGCCAGAGATCAAAGGATGTTTCAGCTCATATCTGTTGATTTCAAGGCACAAAGCCTTAGAATCTATGGAAAGATACTTGGTGAACTTAAATGTATGAACTGGACTATCATAACCCTATTGGTCATCAAATTGGGTTTACCACGGTCAATATATAGCCTTAGAGTGCTTCACCACAGTCAACTCTGAAAGTCAATCAATCAATTTAACGCAATTTGACCTGAAACTTGATGCAGAGATGGAGCAGAGTCAGCAGCCTCTCAGGAACTTGCTCACCAAATTTTAGAAGATTTGAAGATTGTTTGAGAGTCCTTGGAATTTGCCGTGGTCTTTGGCAGACTAAACTGTTGGACTGCTGCAAATAATCGAGCAGAGTCAATATTGTTCCCGATGTGTTGCTTCCAAGTTGTTATATGATTAAAAAACCACTTCGAAGAGGAAATGGTTTGTTTAAAAAGAAATTGAACCACGTAGAGCTCATTATATGAGCTTGCCTCGGTCTCTTGCTGGCTGAGCCACCAGACTTCGGTTCAGGATTGAAATTTCACCCATAGGTGACTCAAATATGATATTTATGGAAAGAAATATGTTTAGAAACCATTATAGAGGGGGGTTGATCCTTTTGGGTGGGTTGTGAGCTACATGGAGCCAATTAATAAATTGGTCGTTGTCTCTAGATGGACTAACCACGGCGAAGGATCGGGATTGATGATTTTGGTCTCGAAATTGATGTTTCCAAGTTGGTTATTAATGAGAAACCACTTTGGATAAATACTTAATCCATCGGGCTGACTTTTGAAGCATGTGGAGCTCAGTCAATGGATTCATCGCGGTCTCTTGCTGGCTAAGTTGCCACACCGCGACGAAGGGTCAAATTGATTCATTCCCAGAAGAAATTGAATGAAATTTGGGTTTGGGGTTGCTGAAAAATCCTTTTGGATAAGGATTAATTATATATTTATATGTTTAGAGCATAGATATGAGGAGCTTTGTTAGGGGTTGGTGATCCCCCCTTAGAAACTTGCTCTGGCGATCCTGAAGCCGGAGCCGATCTCGCTCCTCCCAAAAGGGAGCTGAATCCCTAATTTATAGGGATCTCGAAGGGGATCATGGCCCCACGAAAAGGGGTGCAATTATGGTTTGAAGGGATCTTGGTCCTTAGGAAAGTTCCAAAAGTTTTTGAAGTTTGAATGAGACATCTTTGATTCTGTGCTCTTTTTTTCTTTTTTCTTTTTAGGGGGGGGGGGAGGGGGAGGGGGACGGTTGTACTTTTTGTGAATTTTCTAGTTAACAACCACTTTTACACGATTTTTGTTTTCCGTTCTCATGGTTGTGGTTTGCCTAAGTGGTTTGGAATCGCCCTAGTTGGCTTTGTCTTGATGGACTGCCCAGTTGCAGATAATCCCAAAGAGGGGAATTGCCAAGTTTGTCCAGAACTGCTGGATCTCACTATGGTGAATCCTTGTCTCGTCCGGTTAGAGACTTGGGTGATTCCTTAGTTCGGTTCTCATCATGGCCCTCTGATCATATTTTTCAATAGTTTTTATGGGTTTTTTAGGCTATAGAGTTCTCATTGTGCATGTGTAAATAATGCTAGAAACCTGAAAAAAAAAAAGAGAGGAAGTGTGCGTACAAACGGCATGAAGAAATTATACATTTCTTAATTTTTTAAATATCAAGCTGCTCCCAGGCCAAGGTATGGAGCTTTAGCCAATAGGTCGATCCCAAGCTCCCGCTCCCACTCCCAACTAGTATGCTTTAGGGCAGTTGATGGTCTCAGATATTTCTGGCTTGCATTGATATTCAAAAAGATCAATTTCTTTTTTCTTTTAAGCTCTGAAAATCATTGGATAAATCTTGAAGTTTCATGATTTCTTGAGAACTAAGAGATGAGGAAGCACGAGAGAATAACTTTGAGAAGATAAATGATGATCTCGAAGTGATTAACTTGAGATTTATCTTTAAAAATTGCGATCTATGCTATATGCAGCAGAGACTCTGGTGAATTTTTGAGGTCTGCAAATTCCTCAAACTTTTAGTCAATCTCTTCTTGTGAATTTGATGAATTATTGCCTCATGTGATTCTTAATCATCCTAGTGAGGGTTGGGATGAATAAACCCACATTTTTTGAGTGATTTGCGCTGTAAATTCTCGGTTTCCAGCCTTTGCCACCGGACCACAATAAATTTTTGAAGGCTTGAACCTTCATTTTTTATTGTGTCTCTTTGAAGAAAATACTCAATTTTAATCCTGATTGGATGTGTCATCAATATATGATGACATCGGGGTTTTTAAAATCGCACCAATTTGATCAATTTAGGTTGAAATATTGGGATTGTAGTCACTTTATTGCTGTGAACTCCGCAATAAGGTAATTGGCAACTTGTTGGTCTGAAATCAGCTGGAATTGGATAGGCTAGATTGTGCATCTCTATAGCCTAGCTTTACGTTTAATGCTTGTATCCTCTTTTGAATGGTGAGATATGCCTTACACATCAAATCAAGCTTGTCTCTTTATAAACCTTCAACAGCCTATATAAAAGGCCAAGACTCACGATTTTGAGAGGTTTGAGAGTTCATCCTGAGCCTATACTTTCCTGGATTGCAGCTTGAGCAGTCTCATAGCACAAAGTGCCAGAGATTTGCAGAAATAGAGATCGACTTTATCATGGAAATCACGAACACAATAGGAAAGCAGTGTCATTCAATCCTTTGCGGGTTTTGCAAGTATTTGTTGTAGTCTGTCGATTTTCCTATTCCTTTTGTATTTTTGTGAAGTTCTTGAATTCCAAATAGAAGATTTTCCTGTACCTGTTGGGACTTGGGACTAGGAGTGGGGCATTGTGAAAAGCTAGAAGATCCCTATGATTGGGAACATTGTTCATATAATGCATGTTTTAGGGCTCAACATCGACCCCAATGTCTTGGGGATCTCGATTCTGACCTTTTGGATGTCGATCCTGACCTTTTGGATGTTGATCCCAAACTTTTGGGGATCTTTGTCCCAACCTTAATAGAATAAATATACTCTAGGACGTTATGTACTACTTAAAGTAATGATCCCTTTACTCATAGCCAGCAAGCAATGCAACTATATTAAAGGTATAGTTGCATTTCTAGCTGGCTATAAATAACAAAAATCATCAGTTTGGTTATTATCTTGGTCATTATGGTGGGGATCAAGACCCCTAACTGTGGGGGATCGAGATCCCAAAAATAAAAAATTGAGATCTCTTGCAGATCCTTTTTTTGTAGTAGTTAGAGAGGTTCCAGAGCGAGATTACCACGAGGGTTGGAGATCCCAAAAACTCTGGATTTTCCACATTGTACAAAACAAGTGCATGCAAATAAAACGGGTTACTTGGGTGACCTTGGAAGTCCTCAACCCTAGAATTTAAATAAAGGAAAGTTCTTTGATTTTTAGTTTAAGAGTGTAATTGGTGTCTTCTTTATGTCTGTTTTGGCCTTCCGTTTTGTCGTTTCCATTGGAATCAAAATCTCTATACAATGATGCACTTTGATTGCAAATGAAAATGGATATATCGGATGATTTCACTAGTTCTTTTATATTTGTTGTTCTTTTGAGTTCTTTGTTTAGAACTTTTCTTATGCCGTTTGGATTATCCGCCTCTCTGACATCCACAGGTCACTGGATATTTCATCAAAACTCTATGGCCTGAGAAATGATTGGCTTACGACAGGAATAAGCAGCACATGATTATAAAAAGGAAAAGTTTATGTAGAGCCGAGGCTCTAAACAATCAAATTTAAGCCTACCTCAAAAATTTCACTAGAAGAGGTTGTTTTGATACCCAAATATCTTCAAATTGATCATCTCGACATCAAGATGTATGGACATGAGAAAAAAATGGATTGCAAGTTGGAAATAGCGTATTTTGTAATGCATTTTTGGACCGTCAATTTTCAAGATTTTCAAGTTTTCATAGATATGTCGATCTATATACTATTTTTGAAGCTTTAAACTTTATAAATAAATATGAAAATATATTTTAAGGCTATCACAGAGATTTTCAATATTGAAACCACATTTCTCGACACTATTTGAAGGTAGGCTCTAATTTGATTGTTTAGAGCCTAGGCTCTATACAAACCGCACCCTTATAAAAAATGCTCCAAATTGGACCTGTATCCTCCAGTGATTCATGTGCAACTGCGAAAAGGTGTTATAGGTCTCTTCATGCCAGGTATCTGCTTGATAGGATTCTCTTTGGTCCTTTCTCTTCTTCTTTTTTAACAAAATGTCACTTCCGAGCCTGATGTGGCTGGTGGTTCTCTGGGCATTTTGGTGCTTTGGGTGACCTAAAATTGGGATTCAGCCTCTGGACTTGGTGGATTGGGTTAAGGGCTGCAATAGTATAACATTTGGTTGGAATACCAACTTAAAGAAATAAAACCAGAATGGAAAATGCTAAAAGATAAACGAACCATCTGTTGTGTAGAAGAAGAAAGCTTACAATCTAGTAAGAGCTCAGTTTTTTATGCCAAAATTTCAACTTTCACCGATCATTGTTCTTCATGACATTGTTGTAGTTCTGGCGATACACTTCTACACTTCCACTTTGGTAATCATTTGCTCCGTGATTTTTTTCTTTCTTGTGAAACTTGAAACTTTTTCTTCCAAACAATATCTGATGTGATTTTTAGGTCTGGATATGGTTGTTTCTTTTGATATAAGGTGGACAAAGAGAGAGAAAGCAAGATAAGAAAGGAAAGAGTAAGCAAGAGACTAAAACACAGGGCAAGATAACAGGTTATAGGGAGGAGGTCCATAAGCACTTGCAACAGGCTTTCCTTAGTACATTTGAACTCTAGGATAGGGGATGAGATACCTTGTCCTGCTTTGAGAAATCTTTATCCGCTAGTTTCAAGGAGTGATCGTTTTCTTATGGGCTTATCATTTGATATCGATTGATGCGTTCTTCAATCAGTAAGTTTCCAAGAAAAACGGAAGAGAACTTTAAGACTTATATGCAGAGACCATAGCTTTACTCATTTCCATATAGAATCTCAAATACGTGTCAACCCTTTTTCTCCATGGGTTGATCATATGCTATGGAGTGATGCTTTCTACAATCAGTGGGTTCTTAAGAAAGATGGGGAGCAACTTTACAGCTTATAGGCAGAGACCAGAGCTTTCCTTATTCCTATCTAAAATCAAAAGCACGTGCCAACCCTGCAAGGGTCTCAAGAGTCCTGCCAACAATTTTCCGGATTAAGCAAGTCACCTCTGGATAATATTGGGTTCCCTAGAACTACTGTTGAAATTGAGCGCAAACCATTGTTTCCTACATCTGTCACCTAGATTGAACTATGAGCTACCAACCTCTATTCAAGAATTGGATCTTTTGTGTTCTTAAACCCTCTAGTGAGGTCTGAATGGCCCCAAACCATAACACCCATCCCCCAAAAGACAAACAAAAAAGTAAAGAAAAAAGAAGGATATCAAGTCCCTTGTGCTAGTATTGGGATTTTTCCTTCTTTATGGCTACCTTTGAATATCCATTGTTTCTCCTCTCACTTCATATGTTCCATAACTACCCACGCGTCATGCCTTCTGAAGTATGTGGCCTCTCTTGGGGAACATTGTCTAGGACTGGTGAGTGATGAGGCCCTCCATCAATTCAGTCATGGCTCATGAAATCTCATGACTCAAACAACATTCGGAAGAAATCCAGTATCTATGTGCGTAGTGATTGTGTATACCTTACATGATATTTTCTCTGCCTCTAGGAAAGGATTTTTGTTATTTAGGGTGCAATTGTCTAACTTTTCATCTTACCAGAGTTTATGTTTTGAATAGAAGTGAATGAGCTTTTTGTTGTAATAGTTGTTATAAAGCAAAAGCAAATAAATACTAGTATGAGGGCCTGAAACTTTTTAACATTCAGGTCTAGGAGGCTCTAGATTTCTTATCTGTACTACGTCATACCTGTAAGGTGAACAACATTTTCTTTCTATTTAGTGTGTAAGTACTGAGAAAATATCATCGACTCTAATCGGTGTTTAAAAACCCAGATCAGTGGGGTGGATCATCCACTCACCGATCCCGTGTTGGATCGCCGGGTCGTCGTTCTGAATCAGCCTGGATTATCCGGACCGGTTTTTTAAAAAAAGAAAAACTACATTTATACTGTATTTGTTACACAAACCTTGGGATGCCTTACTGGTACACCTTGCAGCTGCCTACTGAAAGTCATGGGTTCCACTCCCCGTCCTTCACTTTTTAACGATATATGTATAGGGAGCTCTTGAGGTACGCCCACGAGCATAAAGCTATAGTCAACGCCTTATTTTGGTCAATTTTTTTTTTTTTGTAATATTTTTATTAGGTGCGCCTAATTTTCAAGAATAAACGCTCTAAATTTCAAGTCATTTGAATTTGTAGAAAAAAATTAAAATTAAAAAATAAAATATGATTTGACGATCAGATTGACCCAGATTCAATATTTTTCCCTTGGGCTTATACTATTGCATCAGCCTATGGGCTGACAGGATCTTTTTCCACACACACGGCAGGACACTATATTTAAAAGGAAAAACACACCCGGGAAGAGAACGTGGGACCTTAAAGCTAGCTAGCATGCTCGTATAACTCTCTCATCTAAGTTATGGCATATATCCTATATGAAATGATTATTAGCCCAATAATCATTTGTTCTTGGATGGTTCCTGATCCAAATTAGGATATTCTAATCCAGATCGGGGATTTTTTAAACACTGATTCTAATCTTGTGGAGTGCTAGTCACTACAAATGTGTACTGTTTAGTTGGATAGATAATCAAATGTTAAAGGAGCTATTGATTACAATGTAGCTTGTGAAATTGGGATCTCTAGCATGATTCGGTTGATGATTGTTTTCTACTATACTCTTCTTGTATTTATTATATTTTTGAAACTCACCCTGGCTTCAACTTTGCTGCAGCTGCATGAGTTTTTGTTAGTTATTATCATATTTATGATGTTCGTTTCTGAGATGCAAAAGCTATTGGCATATACATGGAAAAAGAAAATGTCAGGTTAGGAATTCATGGATTTCAACTGTAAACGATCTGACTTTGAACCAAGCTAGTTTTGATTGTGCTCGTAAATCTTTGATAGAATTAAGGCTTAGAGGTTTGTAATTTTTGCTAATAGGTATACAGTTGAGGAAGCCATGAGTATTATTTGAGATGGTCAGGTGGGTGTTATTGATTGATTATGCATGTATTTTCTATTAATCATCTAGCTTTGGTGTTTTTAATAGCTCCTTGCATACAGTCAATGAATTTGTAATAATGAATGTGCAATAAAGACGTTGAAATGAAATTATTTTTGTGATTAGTACTAGTTCTCTTACTTCTGGTGCTCTCCCTCTCTCTCTCTCTCTCTCTCTCTCACACACACACGGAATGTGCATATGCATAATGTAAGACAGAGGGAACATGAAAGGGAAATAATGCATAGTTTGTGTGGGCGCGACCATGTGTGTGTCAATATGGGAGAGAGACCACCTAATTCACAGTTCTTTTGAGAGTTGCTAAATCGAGAATCCATGCATAGCGTGTTAGAAAGCTCTCAAGAAGCGCCACGGGATTGTTGTGTTTTGGGAGTTAGGATAGGTCAATCTTGGAATTAGGTTGTGTTTCTCCCAATTTTTTCGTCCTATAATATTGTAATCTGAGCTTTTCTTGGAAGGCTATTTTTTATGGGCTTGTAGGCGCTAAATCTTTCTTGGATGCTTTGGAGCCGCTTGCTAAAGAGAACAAAGAAAGAAAAGAAAAATGCGAAAATAGATGTGTTGAAGCTAGTGTTAATATTAGGATCGGACTGGCCACAAAACCAATATGGGGTTTGATTTCTGTTCAACTACTAGCCATATCAGTTGGACTGGATTTAAAAAAAAGATAAAAAACATATGTAAGAGTAAAAAAATATAAATGTATTAAAATATTTACCCAACATAATTTAGTTAGTTAAACCAATTAAAATAAGTTATTATGAACAGTAAAAATCAGTCAAATGTTAGTTTTGATTGATTTTTTATCGAACAAGATTTTTATATTATATTAGACTGATCAGGGAATTTGTTGACAATCCAACTGGTCGGACCACCAATTAAGTTGTATTTGATTATTATAGTTGATGCCTCTTTAGATCGAGGTATGGTGTGTGAGTGGAATGGTCAAATTTAAATTGGGCGTCATGTGTCTGAAGTTCAAACCACCAGTGAGCCATGGAGGTGGGTAGGTGAGTGGTAGAGCGATGGGGCAGAGTTTTTGGTTTTGTTTATGATCTTCCTAGGGGTGCCAAGTTTTCTTTCATTTCACATGTTTCGTTGATACCCGTATGTTAAAATTAGAGATACCCACGTGGGCCTTACTATTTATGCATTTTCGCCCTATTTTTTAAAGAAAAAATTGTTAAAAACCCTCAAATATATATTTTTTAGGCGTAGCCCCTACCCTAATATTTTTTCGTATATTTTTCTCCAAAACCACCTTTTCTAATTAATACTCCCCGATCTAAAAAAAACTGAAATAAAGACTAAACTGCACTCCTCCTTAACTGTTACCTTTTAATCTTTACCCTTAAACCCATTTCCCTGCGTTCCTCCTTTCCTCCCTACGATTTTTCCTCACACCTTTCTCCTTTCCTTCTCCTTTCTCACGGCATTCTCCCTTTTCCTCTCCATGATTTTCCGTCACACCCTTCTCATTTCTTTCTCCTTCCTCACGGCATTCTTTCTTCCCTCTCCATGAATTTTCCCCCTTACAAGGTCGTTTATCTCTCTGGTAAGGTAAGATCTTGTCTCTTTTTTTTTCTACGAGGCCCACTCACTTTTTCTCACGACCTATTTTTTTTACTCTCCCCCTCTCTCTACCAAGGCCCCACTTACTCTCTTTACTTAGGTCAAAACTCAAACTTTTCTCTCAAGCTCTTTTTCTATCAAGGTCCCACAAAGCACTACATTTTTTTCTCCCTCTCTCTACAATCGAAGGTCCTACAATTATGTCACTTTCTCTACGAAGTTTTTCTCTCCCTCTCTCTCTTCTCTCTATAGTCAAAGGCTCCACAACTCTGTCACTGTCTCTACGAAGGTACCACAGAGCACTGCTCTCTTGAAACGAGTCTCATCACAAGCCGAGCTTGATTTATGAAGCGTAGCTATGAAAAGAGTAGTTCAAAAATATTTAGAAACATTTTTTATCTAATAATTTTGGGGTTAAAGCTTGGCATGGAAAAACTTTTTCCTCAATATTATGAAGTGAAAATGTGAATCAAAAGCTTGTTGATTATCTTTAAATTTATATTATTTCTGATCAAAATGTAGATGAGAACCTTTCTCTAAAATTTGTTGTTGGGTTTTTATTTAGATCGGTTGTATTTAATTTGTCATTGCCAATTGAAGGAATTGATAGGTAATTCTTAAGATGTATTGATTTTTTTTTTCTTAATTTGTTATGGATATTGTCAATGTCTCTCTATTGTTATTTTAAGGTATGAATGTTATTGGCGGTACTAATTTTTGGGTTATTTTTACTGTATTATGTCGATCTTATAGATGATGATCCATGATATTTCTTTTGTTCAAATTTAGTAGCAATTCTTGTTTACAAAAATCTTTCTTAAAATTTCCCTTGCTCTTGTTAAAATGTAATTTGTCAATGACAATTGAAGGAATTGATTGATCATGGCTTAAGATGTATTGATTTTTTTTATTTTTTTTATTTTTTAATTTGTTATGGATATTGTAATTTTCTCTCTATTTGTCATTTTAAGGTAAGGATGTGATTGGTGGTAATAATTTTTGAGTTATTTTTACTGCATTATTTTGATCTTGTAGATGATGATCCATCATCTTTCTTTTGTTAAAATTTAGTAGCAATTCTTGTTACAAAAATCTTTTTTAAAATTTGCCGAGCTCTTGTTAAAATGATTGGGGTCTGTTCAAATGATTTGTTTTGTACGGTGAAGGTACGGAAGGGGTATTTTCGTCAAAATATATATAACTTTTTGAGTTAGGGGGTATTAGTTAGAAAAGATGGTTTTGAAAAAAAATATGTGAGAAAAGATCAGGGTGGGAGCAGAATGCCTAGAAAGTACATATTTGGGAGTTTTCAGCAAGTTTTCCTTTTTTAAACTACCTGTTATCCTTGCATCACAGAAGTGGTAAATAGGGTGAGGTATGTATAAGGTGCCTACCTTATAGCATACAAGTAAGGCGCATGTTTAAATTTTGTCGGTGTATATAGTTTTGATGTTGGAAACCTCTATATTCAAACCTAATTATGAAATTTAAAATTTTCAAAATAGTACAAATCAAGCATATCTATGAATATTTGGAACTCTTGAAAATAGATGGTTGAGACGACATGTTTCAAGATATACTATTTTTAGGACGTGGAATTTATTTATTTTCTTGATGTCCATGCATCTTGAGACGCATGATCTTACTAATGGTATGACCCGTAATAGATCATAATGAATGGCGGGACAAGATTCGTATAGCCACCCTTAATGAGTTGTGATGAGGCTCTAATTGTCAATAAGGATCTATGTTGAGATTAAGATGACCATTATCAAGATGATCAATTGAAAGGTTTTTCAACATTTTTTTAACGGTAAAGAGCTATTTGGGTACCTGGAAATCTATTACGTAACAATATATTATAAGGAAATATGGCATTTTCACAGTTGGGATACACTTAATTGTAAGGAAATTGAAAGAGATTACGTGAGATTTTCCCAAAAATCAAGAAATCCATTAGACACGGTGATAAGTGAAAAAATCACTGTTTTGATAAACTTAATCGTAAGGAAATTGAAAGGGATAAGTGAAAAATCTATTACAAGAGTGACGGGTAATTTTGGGAAATATTTCTCGTGCTGTTTTTGCGTACTCTATCGTGATTAAAAAAAAGCCCTTTCTCTTCCTAATAACTAGGTGATCCCTCTCTTTTTAAACTCGTCCCTTTATCTGAAGGCATCAACTCTCATATAAAAACAAAATTAATAAAAATAAAAATCAGTAATCAATGATAAATTACATAACAAAATCATAATAAAAAAATTTTACACAACATAATGTGATCTCACCCTTTTTAAGCTCGTCCCCTCATCTGAAGGCATCAGTGTCATATAAAAACAAAAAAATAAACATAAAAATCAATAATCAATAATTAATGATAAATTACACAATGCAGTCATAATAAAAAATTTCACACAACGTAATCCTCATAAAAGATTACTAAAATCTCAATTGAAATGACATACCTCGTCTCCTCTAATACCTCAAAATTTTATACTGCAATTACCAAATCTTATATTTACTAATCAAACTTCTTCCCATTTTTTAACTCGTATCCTACATATTTTGAATTTTGTACCATAAATTTATTGTTTATTTAAAATGGTATATAGAGACATTTGAAAGACTTCTATAAAAAATAAATAAAAATAAAGCTTATCATATTAAAATCATGTTATTCCAATCATTTTGATCCAATGACTTATCATATTGAAACCAATGCCATGTTAGAAAACATGTGATTGCATATAAGTGCCAAAGGCACAAAACATAAGTAGCAAATAGTGTCATGATTGTACAATGGTATAAGTTATTATTAGAAAATCTTTTTGGAATGGTGATAATGTTATTAATAGAAATCTTTTTGAAATGGTGTGATGATGCTATTAATTCAGTATTTAAGTAGAATTTTGTGACAAAAAGTAAAGAAATGATAGTTTATAGGCACGTGCTGGTAAAATATTGGTAATGCAGCTCCTATATTTCTTCCTAGCCAAAAATAACAATGTACTTCCTAGGTTGCATCTAAATACTACCCAAACAATAACAATGCATTTACAGGTAATGTATTACTCCAATAATATAATTCACAAACAATATATTTCCAAGTATCCAAACAACCCCTAAAACTCAGGATTGTATTTTTTAAAATATGGGATTTTTTTTTTTTTTTATTGGATTGTTTAGCTAGATTTGTAACAGGGACTCGAAGTCGTCTAAGTCAACTGACAGAAAACCAAGTTTTATCAAAATTTCCTCACGAAAGCTAATAAGAATAAATAAAAATTTATATAAAATGCTAACCTTATCTATAGAAGTAGGGGCATCTCTAAAATAAACTATAATTTTATCTATAGGAATAAGTCGCACTTCAAAAATCCAACTCAACACTAAAAAGCTCTCTAATTGATCATCTCAAATTGAGATGTATGGATATGGGAAAAACGTTTTAGGTCATGAAAATAGTGCATTATGTAGCATATTATTTTGACCATCTATTTTCAAGATTGTCAAGTATTAATAACTTTACTATATGTATACTATTTTTGAAGCTTTAATATTTATAAATAACGCAAAATAGATTTCTATGCTATCGTAGGGATTTTCGGCACTAGAAGTACATGTTTCGGCACAATTTAATGGTATGCCTTGCTTTGATTATTTAATATTGGCACCTTATACGAACGAGATTCAAAACATAAGACACAAATTTGTCAAATTGCCTATGAGAAATGCTTCTAGTGCATCTTTTGGCACAATCTAATGGTGTGCCTTGCTTTAATTGTTTAAGGTTGACACCTTATACAAACTAGACTCAAAATATAAGAGAGAAATTTGTCAAATTGCCCATGAGAAAACTGCATTATTTAATGTTTTACATATTTGCAACTATTCCGATATGTGTATTTTAATAGATATTTTGAAATCAAATCAAATTATATGATTAAAATAATGAATTGTATTATTTAATGTTTTACATATCTGCAACTATTCCAACTCATAGATACGTGTATTTTAATGGATATTTTGAAATCAAATCAAATTATATGATTAAAATAATGAATTATTCACATGAAAATTTTGATAAAAATAATATTATATAAGGCGTCAAAAGTAAGGCTAACTTCAAAAATCATTGCAAAAGGTTGCTTCAATGTTATAAAACCCTCAATTTAATCATTTCAACCTCTAGATGTATGGATATGAAAAAAAAAGGATTTTAAGTCATGAAAACAGTGTTTTTTGTAATACATTATCTGGATAGTCTATTTTATTGGTTTTAATTGTTTATAGGTCTCTTCGAACTAGATGATATTTAGATATTCAAATTTTATAATAAGGAGTAGTAATATATTTTTATGCTATTGTTAGGTTTTCCAATATTGAAACGGCATCTTTCAACATAGTTTTGAGATGTGCCTTATAGGATGAGGACACCTTATACAAACCTGACCCATAAATAAATGAAAGAGGTTTGTATAAGGTGCCCTCCATATACTATAGAAATAAGGTGCACCTTTAGATTGTCTGGAGATACAATTTTAGTGTGGGGAATCTTATGATAGCTTGAAAATATTTTTATCTCTAGTTATGAAATATGATAGCTTGAAAATGTTTTTATCTTTAGTTACGAAATTTAAAATTCTAAAAATAGTATATATTAAGAAGATCTCTGAACACTCAAACTTTTTAAAAATAGATAGACTAGATAATTTGTTACAAAATGTATTACTTTTAGAACTATAAATTTTTTTCCCCTTGCTATTCATACATCTTGAAGTCGACACGATCAAATTGGATGGTCTTTAAGAGTCTCTTGTAGGGGATTTTGTGGTGCACCTTATTTCAATAATATGAACTCACTCATATACATTTCAGAGTTGCAGTTTACAAGGTTGCAACGTTATATAAACTTTTTTCAGATCATTATCATTATTTTAGTTTTTTTTCAATTAATTAGGGCCGGTTATATGAATCATGGTTCTCCATTCAGTTCTATTAAAAGCCATATCTTCGATAAAGATATAAATTTTTTCGAGATAAATTTCGTAATATAATATAACAAATAATCAAAATAACGATGCGGTTTATCACTATCAACAATGCACGATATCACTATCAAATTGATGGTGATAAAGGACAGCAGGGTGTCATTTGTTTAATGACGTGTTGGGTGGGACCCACTTTCGTACACCAATAACTATCCAATCCATGAATAACCTCGTGACGGTGGTGACCATATGGATCATGTTACACCGGCGCATAGATAAATTTGGCTCCCATACTTGTTAATGGATGGTGGGGAATTGACATCTATTCAAATGCGGTCTCCTTCCAAAAATCATTTTGGAGATGGATTTGGGACTTAGGATTTCATAGGTCAATAACTTCAACTACAATGATTATGAACATGAAAAAAATATAGATTTTGATCATTCAAAATAAACCATTCATCACTATTCTTTCTAAAGATCTTTTAATTCTTTGTACGTCATAGATTTGCTCTATTCTTTTATATATAAAATCATGGATCTGAAGTGAGAATGCTTCTCAAGTGTGTTAAAATGCAACATATAATTGATGATTAAAATATTTTGAGTCTTTAGATCCATCTCTTTGGGGGACATTTGGTTGGAGTGGAAATATTTTCATATGAAAAATATTTACATATGTAAAGACTTTGCAAGAAAATCTCTTGCAAACTTTCATTTCTCTATGTTTGTTAACATGTTTAAAAGGCAAATTGTAATGAACTGCAACTTGTTTGGTAATTATATTTGTTTTGTACATATGTTAAATATACACATGTATTATTTAAAAGAAAATTTTTATATAAGTGTGAGGCTCTAAACAATCAAATTAGAACGCACATAAAAAATTCATTAGAAGAGGTTGTTTCAATGCTCACAATTCCTCAAATTGATCATCTCAACTTCAAGACGTATGAACATGACAAAAAAATGGATTTCAAGTCTTAGAAATAGTGAATCTTGTAATGTATTTTTCGATCGTCAATTTTCAAGTATTGATAGATCTACTCGATTTATTGTAAACTTTAAATTTTATTATTAGATATAAAAATAAATTGTCAAGCCATCACAAGATTTCTATTATTGAAACATCTTTTGACACTATTTGAAGGCGTGCCCTACTGTGATAGTTTAGAGCCTCAGCCTTATAGAAACCACACCCTTATTTAAATATTATTATAATATATATTGTATTGCAAATATCTATTATATAAATGTATTATATTATATAAATACATAAATATATAATATAATAAATAAATATAATACAAATATAAATTAATAATATAAATATTATATATATAATATTAATCATACTAAATTTATATATTATATTATATTAATATATATCTAATATTATTAATATATTATTATATGAACTAATATATTATTTATATTATAATATAATATTAATATAACATATATCTAATCTTTTAATATAGTATTATATAAGATAAGATATTATTTATAAATTGAATATTAAATATTATTAAAATATAATTTTTATATATAGATATTATATTACAAATAGTGGACGGCGGGTCTACGTGAAAAAGAATCCAGTAAATACTTCGATTAACGATAAAAAAAAAAAAAATTCGCATGGTTGACGTGTGATTTTTTGTCACGCCAAGTGGACCAAAATATACTACGACATGTACGAGTCCAAATTTTCCCCATTATTATTCCTTTGGATTTGGCTGTATGGGCGGGCCCCCACACAATTATTTCAGCCCATCAGTGCACATTCCTCTAATCAATTTGGACGGTGTAGATCTAACCAGGAATCATTTGAGCAAATCTGTATTGATATGCATCGTCCAAATTGTCAAGTAACACTTCTCCTTGTTAATGCGATTCTTGGTGACCAGAAAAATAATAAACTTTTTCTTGTCGATTCATATTTTTAAGAGAGAGAGAGACAGAGAAGTGGTGTTAGAGGGAGAAAGAGAGAGAGAGAGAAATGGTTTTTGAACGCCGGCGAAAGAGAGAAGTGGTTTTAGAGTGAAACAGTGAGAGGGAAGTGGTTTTAGAGTGAAACAGTGAGAGAGAAGTGGTTTTAGAGTGAAACAGTGAGAGGGAAGTGGTTTTAGAGTGAAACAGTGAGAGGGAAGTGGTTTTAGAGTGAAACAGTGAGAGGGAAGTGGTTTTAGAGTGAAACAGTGAGAGGGAGATGGTTTTTGAGGGCTAGAGAGAGAGAGACGGGCAGTGTTTTCTGGTTCATCAGACCAGAGAAATCGGAACACTCTCTCGATCGATGAGAGAAACGGGAAAAATTCGCCCTTTTGTACTGTGACTCGGCCTAGACAACAATATCTGTCTAGGTTTTCTGGTTTTGAATCTCCCTGTCATTAGGGCGATGATCCAATCAAGCATGCTATGCTCTTCTCGCTACTCCTTCTCTGCAACTTCTCTTCCCTCTCCACCATTGAATCTCAAGTTGAGAAAAACTCAATTTCTTCTTAGATGGAGGTGTATGGCCACCGAACCAGAAGGCCTCTTTGCCTCAACCACAAATACACAGCTCGATTTAGACACCACCGACAAAAACACGACCAAGTACTTAATCTCTGATTCATTTTTTTTCCTTTTATGAATGTTTATTCATCAGTTGTTTATGTTTGGGTGTTATGGTTGACTTTGTAATGTATGTGCTTCTGAATTGGTGATATTGGAAAGCTATATGGAATTGTTAGATCGGATGGCTACTAACGTGGTTTGTACTTTATTGGGTCTTTAACTGCCTTTTTAATAACGATTTTCCCCAAATTTCTATATCTTGAAACTTTGAGCATATACTAAGCCAGATTATAGATGCAACGGCCGGATTTTGAGGAACAGAGGGGAAAGAAAGAAAAAAAAGAGCCACAATTATTGACCGTACAGTTAAGAACTCATGATCAAGTGTGAAGTGGATTGGCATTGTGTAAGACTTAAGGAGTGGGTAAAGTAGATGTTCGCTGCTTTAATTACTGTTCGGTTTTTTATTATTTCGTATTTTTTGGGTGGTCATTTTTTATTATTTCGCTTATTGGATTTCTTTTATACATTAGCCACTTCCATCGCTCCTGATGATGTATTGTCATTAAATCACCTAGGTAGGTGGGAATTTTTGCCACCATAGTGTTTCTTTCACAAAGGATTTTGTACCATTTCTCGTCTTCTGAAATTCTCAGTTACGAATACATGCCATTATTGAATTCATTGTTTCCCAATTAGTGTCTAATATGCTTTCATTGCTTGAAATCCCTTGCAGTTTTTGCATCATAGAAGGGCCTGAAACAGTACAAGACTTTGCCAAACTGCAGTTGCAAGAAATTCAAGACAATATCCGGAGTCGTCGTAACAAAATTTTCTTGCATATGGAGGAGGTATGGATTTTTTACAAGAGCTATATGAAGATAACCATTATGATGTGTTGACGAAACGATGTTACTATTACATGGATTAATGGTGTTTCACATCGATGTCTTCTTTTTATTATGAGGATTAATGGGTTAATGGTGTTTCACATCCATGTTCCCTTATTATGTGAACTAATGGCATCCACCATCTATGTCATATTTTAAGAAGGCATATTTTCCTAGTACAACTATCAACAATGTTCTTCTTGATTAGTATCTATTAGGTAGTAAACTAAGGGATCAATTGTGACATACATGAAACAGTGCTATGTTGAGAACACTGAGCACTTAATTTCTATTTTAAGATATTGATATTATGCTCAGAGGATCTCAGTAAAAAAGATATTCCACTTAAAGAGAAGTGGTAGAAAACCAAAGAGCATCTGAGGGCAGAGAAGAATTTTGTTAGTAATTCATCCCAAACCCCAGCCTACTTGTACTCATACTATCTCTACTATCTTCCTATGAGTTTTCCACCTTAGGTACATGATGTATGTGTCTGTGTGTGTACTATTATTATAAGTATGTTTCATGCACCACGCCATGTGAAACTGCCAAAAATGTCAATTTCTTGTTTCCTACAAATTTGATGCGGATGTGCTGATTGATCTTTTCCTCTGATTTTTAACGAGCTATTGAATGGTATAGATTTTGTATAAATTTGATGCTCGCAGGTCAATTCTAGAATCCTCTCTCTCTCTCTCTCTCCCCTCTCTTTTACATGTAGATTCTCCCCAGACCAATCTCTCTACCTTTTTCTTCCCTCCCTCCCTCCCTCCCTCCCTCTCTCCTGTCTTTTAGACGTTGATTCTCTCCATACCAATCTCTCTTATCTTTTTCTTCTCTCTCTTGAGAGAGAAAATGGTACATTACCTATTTAAATCAAGAAGAACATTGTTGATAGTTGTACTAAGAGTGGGGTTACCTATTTAAATACCACGTGAGAAATAGGAATTTCCACTAAAAATACAAGAAAAATCGGGACAGAAAGCAACCCTTATTGAGATCATGTTTTCTATTATTGGCTCGCCTTTCAGGTCCCTTTCTCCTTTTCAATATAAGCTTACAATATTATCCAAAAGGAAAAACAACTTTCATGGATGATGATGTTAAACTATTTAAGAGCTTAGCGGTAATGTGGATCTACTTGCTTGTTTAGTATAAACTATAAACTAGGAACCATAAATTGTTCACAATTGCGTCACAGTCATTTCATCCTTCTTATGGATATCATGGGCAGAGGTCTAGTTTTTGTGTATGCATGTGCATGTGTGCTGGTGAGTGCCCTAGATTCATGAATAGGTTAGGTGATTTTTCTTATTAGGGCACATAGCACTTTTTTTTTCGGTTTTGATATGTTTACATCCATCTGTACAGTCTTTTAAAGAGAATCTGTGAGGTTTCGCAACATTGTGGTCTCTATGTTGTTGGAGCAATTTACATAAATATATTTCTTATTAATATTATTATGATTGGACGAATTCTGGATTCAAATTTCTCTGTTGAAAATTTACCTATGAACAAAAAAAAACAGTTATGTTGAAAAACTTATTCATTAAATGTGAATATTTCTTTTTTCTTAAATTCGGAAGTAACATAGTTCATTGATCTCTTTCAGTTTTTGTTGTTGTAGGTTCGCAGGCTACGTATCCAGCAAAGAATTAGAAGTGCTGAACTTGGTGTTCTAAAAGAAGAAAAAGAAAATGAGTTTCCTGATTTTCCGTCATTCATTCCCTTTTTGCCTCCATTGGTGAGTAGTGAGCTCCTAAGCATTGCATCTAGTGATCTTCTTTGCTGCAATATTGAAATTAGGAGCCTACCCCCTAATGATGCGTATTGTGTGCCATTATGGAAGTCGTCTAATGTTACTTTAGGTACGCTTACCCATTAATGTATGTGCATTGCTTACATTTGTGACTTTTTTTTTTTCTTCTTTTATTTGAGTAGATGCATGTGTAACGTTTATGTTAAGTTTCATGATATAATCATGTATCTCTAGTAACTTCTAGAATTATAGATAAACAAAAGTCAAATTTAAGAACTAAAGACAAAACAAAGGGTTGTCACCAAGGTCCCATATTTGAGTTCTTGTTGACAGAACTTTCAACGTTAAGGGTTTCTAATAGTTAGATGTGCCTAGGGACTCGGAAACCACATTTGGTGTGCTTCTAAATATGAGGTTGCCCCTTGGGCAGGCCTAGTTATGGCGCCAAAGGTCTGTACTACCTAGTGACTTGAAACCTGCATTTGGTAGTTATGCTTGGTAAGGTGCGATGCGTTGATGGCGATTTTCATTTTTTGCTTAAATGTGGAGATTTCTTTTATTTTATGTACCTATTGATTTATGAATATCAAAAGAGGTGTCTCGCTACTTTTTCACATTTATCTCATTCTATGTACTTTTCTTTGATAGTCTTTTTCATTTAGTTCACAGTGATCATTTTTGTGACTTCAAAAATTGGAACAGACTCCAGCAAATCTTAAAGTGTACTATGCTACGTGCTTCTCTCTTATTGCGGGAATCATGCTTTTTGGAGGCCTTCTGGCACCCACTGTAAGTTTGTGCATGCTACAAATTTTCTGTTCTATGATTTTATATGCATGCATATGGGTATATAAGCATGTGCTCTATGTATCACTGTTTAATTTGTGACCAAGGTTGTACTTCCTTGCCTACTGTGCTTATGACACAATGAGGACAACTTCTAGAAATTGAAAAAGTTGCTCCAGAATTTTTGAGTTTTACTTTTGAAAAAAGGTATAAGTTTTTATTTAAGTTTTTTATGGTGTCCTTAATTACTGAGTTCTGAAACATCCTGCTGAGGAGTAAGTTTGTATTTCAAATAATTGATCGTTGTAGTCTGAAGTTTAAACATGCCTATATCAGTATATCTACTTTGAGAAGTGTGTCATATATCATTTCCAAACATGGTGTGAGAATGCTTGTGTGATGAAACATTTCTTCTTTGATAGTATGATGAAGAAATCCCTGTCACTCCACAGTTTAACATTATCAAAAAAAAAAAAAAGAATTCCTTGTCTCTCCATTAAAAAAATCCTTGATCCTTTTAATGGAAGTCTTCTTGTAGTTTAAACATGGCCACGCAACGTGGCTGAGCACAACATGCATTTGCCTATCAAATTCTTTTGACTTGTCATTTTTCTTGAAAAGTGAGTTTTGTTTCATTCATCATGGTTGATTTATCTGTTTGATCTTGAACATTCTCTCAGGGTGCGTTTATTTCGGTTGAGATCTCCTTCCGAGAAGGAGATCTCAACAAAATCAGCTGTTTGCCATGTTTGTAGCACATGGGAAAGCACGACACTTTAGTACCAGGGAAAGCGCCATGATGTGCTTTTCAACACTGCTCAAACAGCTTTCTGGGAAACAACTTCATACGCATATAGGTATGAAGCAGGTTTCCCACCCCTGAGAAATGTGCCCTCAATGATTAATTAAATGTCTGGGGACACTGTTGTTAGGAATTGTTTGAGATATTTAATCTTTTAATATTTGATGACAATAGTCATTTATATTTGATGATATTATTAATTCTGGTGGGATATTTGTTCTCTTTCAGCTGGAACTTAAGTTGGGTCTAGGAGGTACATCCTATGAAGACTTTATTCGTAGTATGCATCTGCCTCTACAGTTGAGGTACATACTGTAGCGTGATGTAAGGCTTCCATATCAAACTCCTATACGATAAATGAAGTACGCATTTTCACCTGGTGAAGACATTTTTCACATGTTATCACATCTCTCTCCTTGTCTTGTTGATATGTTTCTTTGATAGCACATTTAGTATGAATAGCCTGCTCAATCTATCCATCCTAGTGCTCTAAATTAGATAAGCTGCAGCTTTTTAGAGCTAAGGCACAGTTTCTATTCTGACTTTCTTCCATTCACAGATTCATTAATTGGTGATAATGCAGTCAGGTTGATCCTATTGTTGCATCATTCTCGGGTGGAGCAGTAGGAGTGATATCATCCTTGATGGTGGTTGAAATCAACAATGTTAAGCAACAAGAGCAAAAAAGATGCAAATACTGTCTTGGAACTGGTATGTATATGCATCCCATACTAAATAAATGTTTACCTTTATGTCCATATGAATGAATCCTGTGTTTCTTGAGTAAATAGTATGTTTTCTGCATTCCTTGACCTGTGTTTCTTGAGTAAGTAGTATGTTTTGTGCATTCCTTGATCCAGTCAATTTTTACCTGCTAGTTCCCAATACACAATTCGTAGATGGCTGTTGAGTAAAGTATTAAAAGTCATCTGTGTGTATACTGGAATTTAGGATTAATATTTGTTGATGCAGCAACGAAAAGAACATAGGTGTGGTTCCAATAGGTGATAAGATGAGAGAAAGTAGACATAAATGGGTTTGCCATGTGCAGCGCAGACCTAGTACAATTTATGTTAGGTGGTGTGAGTTAGTTCAAGTGGAAGGCTCAAAAAGGGCAAGGGGTAGGCCCAAAAGGATATGATTGGAAGTAGTGAGAAAATATATGAGGATTTATGATCTCACTGAGGGTATGGCCCTTGGTAGAGCATAATGGCGGACTAAGATTCGTGTAGCCAACCCAAATAGTTGGAAAAAAGCTATGATGATGATGATGATCTATTGATGTCGTGAGGAATAATATATAGTTGTGATTTCTTGAGCTTCCTTGTTTCCTCTGTGCTGTCAGGGTACCTGTCCTGTGCTAGATGTTCAAGCAGTGGAACGCTATCCATGGTTGAACCAGTTGCTGTGGCTGAAGGTTATGATCAATCTCTCTCACCGCCCACAGCTGAACGATGCCCTAATTGCTCAGGTGCAGGAAAGGTATAAATTTATAATCATCCTATTGTTTCTCTCGTACACTTCATGTGATGACTGGTTTTTGTATGATCATTAATGTTTCCAGCCCTTTAAAGGCTAGTCATGTTCTTCTGGATCACTGCCACATAAAATGCTTTATGTTAATGGTGGTGATAATGCAAACATTTTCAAGCTACAATAAACTTATCTCTTGCCGGCTCCTTTCTGACATTATTTGGGGGATGACTTAAATGCTATGGAACCTGTGACATGATTCTGTTTTTCTTTTATGTTTGCAGGTGATGTGTCCTACATGCCTATGTACTGGAATGGCAATGGCAAGTGAGCATGATCCGAGAATTGATCCTTTTGACTAGAGATTTTTCTAGGAAACAGAGTCATCCAGTGAAGAAAACTGTATTTGTGAAATATATAGGAAATATTTTGTTTCCTTTTGATAATTATGGTTCCAGGTTGTCTGGGGCGATTTCTGTAAATTATCTACGGTGATCAGACATCAAAAACCTAAGCAAGAATTTCGTTTCTCTCTATATGGGGGTGAAAAAAAGTTTTTAGTAAGATTTTTTATAACGATCGTTGCTATTGATTATGGTATCGTTTTCAGAAAAAATGGTACAGGTTCTATGTCATTAGCACTTGTATATGGAGATGCTCTTAAAACCAGTAAGTATGATTTGCGGGTCTTCGACGACAGAGTAATTATATATAATGTTCCTTGCAATCACCTTACAAATTATGAAGTAAATGGGAATAATATAAGTCATAAGTATAGCATGTACAAACTACAATGTATCCCTGTCCAATAGTTTCATAGTTGAGCATTTCCCTGTGTTCCACTTCTCTCCAGTGGGATCATAAATAAATGTCTTTTTTTTCCTTTTCTTTTTCTTTTCCCATTTTGTAAGTTTTTCAATTGTGTGACGATTTCTTGCAAACAATGATTCTTTTGTGATTCTTAGGAATGCATGCTTTTGGAGGAAGTTTTGAGTCCCAATCACAATCACACTTGTCATTTAGATTCTAAATTAGATTATTGTGAGTGTTTATTGACTAAATTCAAAGCTCGAAAAAGAAATTTTGAATTTTATGAGACATATCTAACATTAATTACGATTGTGAAACTTTAAGAACACGGCAATTGTGAAGACTTTAGGAACACGGGAGCATGGTATCTTTCCTTATTAAAGATGATAGGGCCATAGGGTCCAATTGGAGATTTGGTCCCATGGTGAAATGCATACTTCTTGAACCACTTTTTCTCGTCGCTGACACCCATGTTTTAACACCCCGCGATTTTTATCGAGGATTGCAGATCTATAAGGGAATCGGTAAGTCAGGACGAACCAATTATAGGATGGATGAGTCCCAATCAGTGTTCACAAAACCCTGAAGCAGTTTAACCGGCCTAACCGGTAAATCTTTCGATCTAACCGTTTTGACTCGTCAAGTCTCTGGTGGTCAAAAAAAGTGTTGAAAAAATAAAAAAGATACAAAAAAAAAAAACTAAAATATGAAAAAGATATAAATAATGATTAAAACAAAACAAATTAAAATGAAGTTGGAAATTAATGAAAAAATGTATTTTAATGAATTGATCAAAATTTGAATTAAAGTGAGTATTAATGATAAAAATAATTTTTAATCTTTACCATAATATAAAGAATATTAAAAAATACATTACACCAAATTCCTTCTTTTTGAAAATTTATATATGTTTTTTTTTTTAATTTTATATTTTAAAAATACCGATTGATCATCAAAACCACTCAAAACCGAAACCTCTTACTTTGATTATTTAAGATTGACATTTTAACAAATCACACCCTCACGTAAAATATCAAAACCGAAAATTTAGAAACTTATCGAGGGAAATGGGACTTTCGCACACGTCTAAATCTCTCAAATGGGGAAAGAAATATAATGATAAAATCTACCAAAATTTAATTACAATTTTATTTTTTTTTGGGTAAATTACAAGTTGAGCACTTGTTAAGCAAATAGTGCACGCAATCGCTGCACTGAACTTGCTAGTACTATTGCAACTTGCCACTAGGGACAATAGCCCCACTAACATAATTTATAGGGAAAATATCTTCTTATACTTTATTTTTAACTTCTATATCTCATGAAACTCAAGAATTTAAAATATTACTTGTAAGCAAAATGTCTATCTTTTCTATCTTACAACCCCCTGAAATCTTTTGATCGTAAATTTTTTATCAAAACAAACACTAAAATGACACCCTATTCAAACTCCATCTCTCTCTTTCTCTCTTCGCTTCTCGATGAGTTTACCAGCCAAGGGGTTTAGCTTGAGCTCGAACACGAGCACACTTTCTTATGTGTGTGTGAGAGATGGAGTTTAGAGAGAGAGAGATGGAGTTTTGGTTTTAGTAGAGAGACAGAGTTTGAGTTTTAGAGAAAGAGATGGAGTTTGTAGAGAGAGAGAGAGATGGAGTTGGGTTTTAGAGAGAAACGATGATGTGAGAGAGAGGTAGAGTTTAGTAGAGAGAGAGATGGAGTTTTGAGAGAGAGAGAGATGGAGTTTGGGTTTTAGAGAGAAACGATGATGTGAGAGAGAGGTAGAGTTTTAGAGAGAGAGAGAGATAAAGTCATTTCATAAGTTGTTGAAGTCAATAATACATGATCAAAAGGATTTAAGGGGTTGGAAGATAGAAAAGATGTAGTCCTTTTGTTTATAAGTGATATTTTCAATTATTGGGTCTGATGAGATATAGAAGTTAAAAATATGGGATAATAGGATATTTTTTTTAATTTATTTAATTTTTAAGAGAGAGTATCTAATGAGACCATTTATCTTTGGTTCAAGGTGGTCACAATTAATTTTGACCATTGGATATAAAATTGGATGGCTATATTTATTTTATTGACCAAGCTCAAAGTTCAAAAGAAATTTTTTCGAACTTTGTGAGATACCAAAACTATCGGATTTCATTTTATACAATCCCCTTTTTTAATGTTTTGTATTTCCACTGCTTAACTCTATTTTACTAGGGAAATTTTTATTTTTATTTCTAGTTTTTTACTTTTTTCATTTCTCCTTATTTTTCTTTGTTTAGTTTGAAATTTTGGATCTTTGATAACTTTTTTTCAGTATTTTTCTTGCGTTTCAAAAGAAGCAAAAATATTATTTTACAATCACTTTGTGTGGTGCAATTTTAAAAAACAAAATATTTCGATAGGGTTGCAACCCCACGAGAACAACTAAGAGTCTCACCTCAAAACTCATATAACATGGAAGTTCTCGTATTAGAAGACCTTCAAATCGATTATCTGGTCTTTGACTATTATAGTTGTAAAATAAAGAAATTAAGATTTTAAGTACTAAAAATAGTGTAGATGGGTAGGCTTAAATGAATATGACATATAGTAGTGAGAAAAAATATGGAGATTTAATGTCATTAATGGTATGACTATTAACAAAATAAAATGACATACTAGTGTAGAAATGTTTTTGACACGAGGTTATAACTTTTAATAGAACAAAATGACTTATGACCCTTAATAAATAAAATAACAACCATTGGAGCATAACTCAATTAGTTCGAAAAAAAAGCTTTTGATGACGACAACAAAATATTTAAACCATTCATTTTTGAAGTATTTGTAGATCCGCAAGGTCTGTAGGTACGAATTTGATAATGAGCGGTAGAAAATGATTCCAGTGCATCATATAGGTTTCTCTTCCCATGCTCAAAGTCAAAAGTGTTTCTTAGGCAGGGATTTTAAGGTGAAGAAGCTGTAAGTTTGTTTTTAGTAAGGCCTACCATACCTTGTGATTGTTTTTTCCTATATTGTTCGATGAGAACATAGCATGCCGGTCGGGTTGGGTTGGGTTGGGTTGGGTTTGTGTCTCGGTCTCTGTCTCATTCCTTCTCCAGCAAGAACCCCACTTGCTCAACCACAAATCAGATCTTTCCCTCTCTGATTTCTACTCCTCTTTCTCAACCCCAAATCAGATCTCTTCTCCTCCAGCCATGTCCACTAAACCCCATCATGCCCTTCTCTCTCTCTTCCTACTCCTCCTCTCTCTGTCTACCCCCCTCCCCTCTTCTGCAGAGATCAAATCCCTAAGAATCGAATCCGACTCCCGCCCCATGATCCAATTTGAGAAGTTTGGTTTTACCATTAAAGGCCATGTCCTAATCTCAGTTTCTCGAGTTTCATGGAAATCTCCCAAAAACCATGTCACTGATCTCTCTCAAATGGGTTTCTTCCTCTTATCTGAAGAACAGCTTATGCAGGTCATGATCGAGATGGAGCAAACCGATCGATTTTGCGTTCTCTCGAGCCAATACATCAAATACCTCTTCAGTTTCAACGATTTGGGCCCCGAATTCAACTATAACCACTCGTATCCGGTCTCTGTTCCTGATGAGTACAGTCTAGTCTTTGCAAACTGCAACCCCAATGTCGAGGTTTCAATGAATGTGCACACTGAGATGTACAATTTGGAGGGAGAAACCAAGGATTATCTTCCTGCTGGTCAGACCCAACTTCCCAAATTGTATTTTATCTTCTTCCTTTCCTATGTTGCTTTTATGGGGGTTTGGATCTATGTTTGCATGAAGAATAAGGTCTCAGTTCATAGAATTCATTTGGTAATGGGGGCTTTGATCGCTGTGAAAGCTTTGAATCTGGTCTGTGCGGCTGAGGATAAGTATTATGTTAAGAGAACTGGAACCCCACATGGATGGGATATTGTTTTCTATGCCTTTCAATTTCTTAGGGGGATCATGCTTTTCACAGTAATTGTTCTTATAGGAACTGGGTGGTCTTTTTTGAAGCCATTCCTTCAAGAGAGAGAGAAAAAGGTGCTCATGATTGTGATCCCATTACAAGTTATTGCCAATATTGCATCTGTTGTTACTGGAGAAACTGGTCCATTTATTAAGGATTGGGCTACTTGGAACCAGGTGTTCTTGCTCATTGATATTGCGTGTTGTTGTGCTATTATTTTCCCTATCGTTTGGTCGATTAGGACCCTTAGGGAGGCCTCAAAAACTGATGGGAAAGCGGCGAGGAACCTCGCGAAATTGACCCTTTTCAGGCAATTCTATATGGTGGTTGTTGGTTACTTGTATTTCACTAGAATTGTGGTTTTTGCACTCAAGACCATTACAGCTTACAAGTACAAATGGGTTAGCACTGCTGCCGAGGAGGCTGCGAGCCTTGCTTTCTACATGTTTGTGTTTTATATGTTCAGGCCAGTGGAGAGGAATCAGTACTTTGTTTTGGATGATGATGAAGAGGAGGCGGCAGCTCAGGCGATCTTGCAAGATGCAGAGTTTGAGTTGTAGAGAGAGAGAAAGAGTCCGGGATTGGAAGCTTAACATCTTCACCTTGATCATGAATTCTTGATAGTCTGCTAGGTATCAAGCATATTTTTCTCTTATGTGCCTTTGAACTTTTCTTGATTCCGTACTCAGGGTCTTTGTGTGGTACATTTTGTTCTCCTTTTTTACACTGATGGAAATTGAGGTTCTTCTCGTTGGATTCAGGGATATGTTTCCACAAGCAAACTTTAGATTGTATTGCTTAGGTTTGTAACATGCCCCATGTTACTGGTTGAAAGCACGAGATTTTCAAGTTTCATTTTCTGATGTTGTTTAAGTTGTCAGTATTTTTGTGCAGAAATATGTTTTCATGGCATGTTTTTCGCTGTAGATTACTATAGTACTTCATAGAGCATTTACTTGGATAATTCATACTTTAGTTGTCATAAATTTCTGCCCATGCTGATTTATCTATCTTGAACTTACTGTGTGCTATTCGAGGCATTGAGCTGTTACTGCTGACCTTAATCTCTTTCATGTCACCTCTCTCTCTATCTGCTATTTGAGACATTGAGATATTACCACTGACATTAATCTCTTTCATCCCACCTCTCTCTCTGTCCCCCTACCCCCCAATTGTCAAATCGGGGCCATAAGCTATTACAGTTGGTCCAACAAAACAAATATGGGAAACCCGATTTAGTTTATAGCGATGGCTTGCGTCCACCCTATGGCCTGAATTTTCTTATGGATATTGATCTGCATCCATATTGTTTCTTTCACTCTTCTTGAATCGTTGAGATTGTATTGCATTTAATCTCTGTACTTGCCATCAATTAGGACTTGCTTATCAAAGAAAAAGGAGATTTTGTAGGATTTTATTTTTGCAATAATCTTTATTGTTTGTTTTATGTTTTATTCTCTTGAAGAGAATGCACTTGAAAGCATCTCTTTTTCTCCCTTGGGTTAAATTGGTGGCGTCATCAACTGCTATAGTATCATGAACTGAATTTTAGTTTATGTCTGAAATATGTATGACTCTATTTGTCTAGTAGCATGGTTGGACTCACAAGAAGTTACGGATGTAATGTGATTTACTTGTGTATGCATGTCAATAAATAGATCCATGGACACTAAGCATGTGTTCCACGCCTATTTATTTTCACATATCTTAAATTTAGCATCCTAGTGATCTGAACCTCCTTAATTTTTTCATGTACTTTTGTTCCTTTCTTGTTCATATCGTCTGCTTGACAAGCATAATACTTTGGGGTTTCATTTTCCATTTTGCTATTTGACAAATCCATTGAATAGGATTTCCTATTGGTCCTTGAATGATCAGCATGCCATTAAGTAGCTTGCATGTTGTGAACCACCAATACCCAAAACTCACCCAAGAAATTCCAAAGTCGCCAAAATGTTGTGTAGCTTCTTGCTAGATACTCTTGAGTATACAATGCAGCAAGAATAGACAGTTTTTATTTGTATAGGAATAAAACATTATTGATTCCAATATTCAGTAGGGTTAGAGATTTGTAGTGGATTGGTCTTTCTTATGCCGGAGCAAACTATACTTTATAGAAAACATTTTTTTGTTCTGGAAATAGAGTTGTTCATATACAGTGTATTCTACAGTTGTCTGAAGTCATTTGGAAATGGTCTTTCACGCTGAAAGTTCAACAACTGTCTATTATAGCGTAGAATCTTTACGTGGAGAACCTTTGTTTCATATGCAAAATCACCTTTTAGCACAATTATCCATTATAACCTTGTGGGATTAATGACAACTATGAAATCCTGTTTTTTTTTTTCTTTCTGGTTTTATCCAGAATGGTTTAGCTATAAACTGAGTCACATCTAGAAGTGCACTCAAAATGGTGTTTGCCCTTTTGAAGGAGGTCTGAAGTATGCTCAAATTGTTTGGATTATGGATCTGTTTGGTTATGAATGGCATGGGGCGAACGACGTAATCGCCATGCATAAATATCAATCTCTGATGTTAACTTTAATGGGAAATTTACAAGTTTATCATTGAACTAAACCTGAACAAGAGAATGATCCATGAAACTATAGTTTGTTGTGTAAAGTGGCAAAACTTCTTTATGTTTGGGTCACATCATGATAGATTGTCCTTATTCTATGTCCATTGACATGTTTGAGATTTCAAAATCAATACCAGCTCTAGATAGTAGAGCTCGGAGCTGCACTTTCCCTAGAAATAACAAACATGACACCATATCTTATTTTAGCATAAGAACTAGAAAATATTTTGTTTATTTCTCTTCCATAAAGAACAAATGTGTAGACTGAGGACACGAAACCTGTTACTTGGAAGCCTGAATTTGGGTTACAGATAAGAAACCATTTGTTTTGGAGAAACTTATCACCATAAAAGAGTAAGAGGAAGGGGGGCGTTTCGGGGGGAGGGATGACAGTGGTATTGGTGAACCCTGTGATTGGGAGCTCCTGGATGGTGTCCATATCTGTGTGTGCAGGTAGCACGTAAACTAGTGTAAACTGTTTTGTTATTCCTATGTCTTGGAATTATATGTTATATGTTGATATTTCATCGTATTTTTGGTCAATCTCAAAACATAGTTTTGGCAAGATTGAACCACAAGTCTCATGCTGTCTCAGACTTTTTCATATTGATCCATGAGTCTCATGCTCTCTATTTGTTCCATAATTGCCTAAATGAGGTTCCAGCTTCTAAAAAGTAGTATATACAATGATATCTATTGGTTTACAACTTGCTGTCAAGTCATAATATTTTGGTTTGAACCTGAGTATCACAAAATATACAACAAAGCATCTTGGTGTGTCCTATGTAGATCTCCCTTGAATTGACTCACCACTTCCACGACATGAGCAATACCTAGTCATTCATCAGTAGGCAGATGGATTACCAACTGTCTGTAGATGGTACCCATTGTAAAAGCCTCTTTAACACGTAGTTGCAGGAACCTTAGGGGTAAGGCCTTGGTCCTACCTTAGGAACTCGATGCCATGGTTCCTCTAAGGGATCTAAAGGGAGCTGGGTTTATAGAAATAGGGATTTTGCTTGTTATAAAATGGGATCTTGGTCTACATGCTGATGCAGGGAGAAAATAAAACTGGAACAATAAAAAATAATAATAATAATAAAAAAAATCATTGAGAAAATATACCCTTTTTCAAGGTTTGCAAGGGAATCCACCCCAAAAACAAGCTCTGCAAGGGAATCCGCCCTAAAAAGATCTTATCACAAGATCCACTTTATTCAACTCTCATTCTCTAAGCATTCTTTGATCATTTACAATGAGGGACATCTTCCCTTTAAATAGAATTCAAATAAAATAAATAAATAACTACAAAAGAACCCGAGTAAAATAGAGTATCTCTCTAAAAAAAGTTCGTACTTTCCCTATTTTATCTCTCCTCCCTATTTTCATTCTTTCCTTTTCTCTTTCTCACATACCATCCCTACTTTCTCTCTTTCTAATTTTCACATTGGCCTTTCTAAGAGTAAAAGATAATTACCACTAATTATTTCCTAAACCAAAAGATCTTTACCTTATCTATATGTTATTTCCTAAACCAAAAGATCTTTACCTTATCTATATGTTATTCCCTAAATTAAAAAGATAGACCTTCCCCAAACAAATCAAGTGCAAAAAATCCTCCCTCCTCCTACTTAACTTTATCCTTATCCTAGCTCTTTCCCTATTCCTAATTAAAATAAAAATAAATAAACTCCAATTTTCATTTGTATCACATGCTCATAGGAGCCCTCTAGGAAGAGGAGCTATACTATTAATTGAACTACTTCTCTCCTTGGTATTATAGATTTGTTTACTTAGAATATGTTAAACTGTAGTGCATATCACAACGCGGTATTACTAGAATTATGGTATTGAAAAATTACAATTTAATATCAAAATTGCAATTTAAAATCATTGCAAGCTAATTTATGAGATTATTAAACTATATTATGTTACATAGACATGGACACATGTATCTATTTATGACACAGATACGAATAAGCGTGAACCCCAAAAAATGATATCTAGACATGACACGTGAGTGCAATATACAAGTATCTACATAAATGTGTACGTCTATATATATACATATCTTAAAATCTATGTATAGTTCACATCTGCATTTACACATATAACAATTCATATCATACAACAATAGTTAAGCATCCAAAAAATAAAAATAATTAAATTAATAGTCCAAAAAAGGTTACTTTGAGTCTGAATTTTATTCATTAAAATTTCTTATAGACCAATCCAAGGTTGCATTGCAACAATATACAAAAAAGCTACAAAGTATTAGCTAATTATTAATTCCAAATGTAGCACCCTTACATTGTGGTTATTGAAAAGAGTCATTTTACTAGGACAAGGCAATGTGCAATACAATTCATGCTATTAATGGCAAAAGAGATGGAGCAATGGCACAAGGCACTACGAGAATGGAAGAGAAAAAAGTTGAAGAATAGAGATGAATATCTAGTGGTCCACAGGTTGAAGAGGGAGAAACCAGCGGTCAACAAGCTTGGAGGGAGAAACCAATGGTCCACGAATTGCAATGGAAGAAACTAATCGGGGAGGGAGAAACCCTACAAAGTTTCATGTTAGTTAAAATAAACTTTATTTTTTATTTATGGTAACAATCACTTTTGGAACTAGTTTAGCAAATAAAAATATTTTTTATTTTGAAAACTATTTATTTTATTCTAAAATACTTCATCATCATCATCAAATCCTTTTCCAACTAATTGGAATTCGCTATTCTAAAATACTTGTTACTTTTAAAATAAAATACTCTTTAATAAAGAATGAAGTTTCTAAAAACAAAACCCTCACTTTCAAAAAAAGGAAATGTGTAAAAAAAAAAGGATATAGTAGTGGACACTTAATAGAGGTGTCATATGCATGTCCAAGCGTGTCAACACGTGTGTCGGTGTTTGCTAAATGTCGACACATGGTCAAACCCCACGACATGTGTCTATGTTTCATAGAAATTATATTATTAGTAAATTTGAGTACTATAACTATGACATTGGTAATATGCTAAAGTGTATGACAATGGATTGAGTGAGCATTGGCTCGATCCTAATTTTCTCATATTTTAATAATTGATCTCTTTTTATGTACAATAGAGCTTACATCTCTTCAAGTCAAAACTTTGCTCCTAGTGACGTGGGATCTCGCTCCCCAATATCCTAGGATCTTGCTGCCCAATATCCTAGGATCTTGCTCCTTAACTTGTTGAATATACAGAGGTCGATCCTAACCCCAGGCAGCTTCCACCCTATGGCAGTTTGGCGTTCACGGA